AGCTGAAACACTCAAAAATCTATGTGAAGTAACAAAACCCATTATTGCGCTTATAAATAAAGTATTTGAAAGTGGAGTATATCCATCTCATTTTAAATAATCAGTAATGATCCCAGTACCCAAGAAAAGGATTACAACATCGCTTCCAAACTATAGACCTATATCCTTAGTAACGACATTAAACAAGATATGCGAAAAAACTTTGTCCAACAGAATCCAAAACTATGTTGAAAAATTGAAGTTAATATCCCCCAAACAATTTGGATTTATAACGGGTGTATCAACTACCGATGTCATCACAAACCTGACAAAATGCTTTTATTCTTTGCTTGGAAAGGGCACTCCAACATTAGCAATATTCTTGGATCTAGCAAAGGCATTTAAACCATCAGCGATTGTTGAATGCTCTTGATGCCATAGGAAGAAGGGGCATAGCCAACACTTGAAGATGTGAATAGTACTGATCAAACTATTAAAAATGGCGTGCCTCAGGGAACAGTTTTGGGATCCTTGTTATTTAATGTTTATATGAACAGTTTGTTAACTTCTGACATTGCGGGGAATATGACATGCTTTGCTGATGATACTGTTGTCGTATACTCAGATTCAACGTGGCAAGGGGTGAAGGCTAAGGCAGAGAGTGACGTAATTAAAATATTTGATTGGACAAAACATTTTTCATGGCATTCTCGACCTGTGATAATCAGCTGCCAGTCGACGATGAATTATCTGTTAATTTGACAACAAATACCCTATGCATCAAATCCACGCATAGTTATTGTTATTTCGGAGTCGTAATTGATAGACACTTGAGGTTGGACAGGCACGTTCAGAATATATCAAGAGCAGTGAGAACTTTACCGTATAAATTCAAATATCTAAGCTCCATACTCAATACTTATCACTTAAAGACATTGTATTATTGTTTGGTAGAGTCGAGAATCACTTAAAACCATTGGAGATACTACAGCGTAGGATTACTAAGAAGATATTAGGAAAGGAGAAGTTGTACCCATCAGCACACCTATGTTTGGAGTTTTGGATGTCCGGAAGTTATTTATATTCGAGGTTATAACTTTTACATGCAAAAATACTACAATACCCGGTATAAAAAAGAGTCACACGTGCTTCAACCTAAGTTTGCTAAGAACATATGTGAACAATGCTGAAATATGTGAAAATATATATATTGCATTTGCACTCAATTACCTACATTTCTAAAGGGAAGGATCAAGTCATTCTTGCTGCGATGTGACAGATCACTTATTGATCAGTTGTTTTAATACCCTTTGCTTAGAGTCGATCTTTGTTGATTTGTTAATTATGTTATTGGCGCATTCTTCTTGTACTTCTTATTACTTGATTATAATATTACCTCATAGAGCCAAATTTTGGAATTAATTTGTTAATCGTATCCGCCCCTAGCACAACCACATGGTTTTTAGGGCGGAGATTGATATTGTTTTTATTTTCTACGGATATACTATTCTTTTCTTTACATTCCGATTATATACTTGACTATACGTTGATGGTAGTATTTGGTCTCATTTGTAATTTAACCAGATTTTGTCGAAAGTTTTTGCAACATCCAAAAATACGGCGGATAGTATTCGTTATTCTATTGGTTGTTGCATGTTTATTCCGAAATCCAAATTGATGTGTTGTATATTACCCTGCTGATTATTTTGAATCATGCTAGGAACATTATTTATCATAGTTGTGGGATTGTTCGATGTAAAAGTTTCTTTCAGATGTTCAGCAAACAAATTAACATTTTCTTGATTGCTCTTAGCCAAATTTCCATTATTATTTCGAATTGGAGGTGTATGTGTTTTTGGAATTTTAAGCTTTTTTCTTGGCTTCCACAGAGAATAATCAGTACTGGCATCGTCAGTAAGGTCTTTCAAGTAATTTTGAATATTATTTTGCTTGTGGCTATCTGTTAATGCTCTTAATTCGGCTGTTATTTTATTTCATTTAGTTTTAGCACTAGGAATTCTATTGGTTTGCCATTTCTTTCTCGCTTTCCGTTTTACTGCAATTTTGTCTATAATGAATTTAGGATAAATGTTAGATTTAGGTTTTGGTGTTAAAATAAGTGTTGCGGCCCAGGCTGCGTTTTGTATGTCTTTTAAGATTTTACTTCCTTGTCAATGTCTCCGTTTGTTTTTATAAGAGCATTAAGATGAATTTTATTATGTAATGTTTGTTGAGATTCCAATTAGTGGATTTATTAGTTAGTGATAAAAAGGGTATTTTGTTACATACTTTGTTATTTAGAGTAATAATAAATGGTGAGTGATCTGAGTCCAGCCCTAACTCTTCTTCTATGTTTACGAATTTAAGCGATATATTTTTGATAATAAAAAGATCAAGCAAGTCTAAAACATGCCATGAGCAAACTTACTTGCCAAAAGATTGAAGTAAAATTCCGATCTTTTGGCCAGTAAGTTTGCTCATGGCATGTTTTAGTTCTCTTCTTTTTGTTTTTGTTAAGCGAGAACCCCAAGACACATGTTTTGCAGTAAAGTCTCGTCCAAATATAAATTTGTTTTCAAGATGCAGTAGAATTTCCTGATAATCTTCTCTTTTGAGATTATGTCTTGGTGGTATGTTCGTTGCTGCTACATATATTAAGTCCTTAGCAGTTTGAACTTTTACCACTATAAATTGATGTTGTTCAGCACTGTATTGTTCAAATAGTGGTCACTTCCACCTCGAGCCGTATTACTAGAGTGAATTGTGTGATAAATATTATAATGGTTGATATTTAAGATATATGTCAATATTGTGTTCTTTAAGTATTATAGGTACTGTATTTTGATGCTGTCGAAGTCCATTGGAATTCCACAGCATTATTTTTAGTAGCTGCAGTTAAGTTACTTTCCATGAAAACTAGACGTGCATATAATGCTTTTATTGTTTCTTATTGTTGAAGTATTTTTTCTAGTATTAGATATAATTTACGGTCAGCCTTTTTATCGACTAATACAGTTTTACAGTTTTCTCTGCAGTTTCACCACTCGCTTTTTCGGCATACGAGACGCCTGGCTTTCTTTTATTTGAATTTACTGATTTCTTATTCCTGATGGCTTGTAGTTCCTTAATCACAATGCACCCTCGGTAGTTCGCTGGATGATTTTCTCCACAGTTGAAACATTTAGCCGGGATTTCTTTGGTTTTGTGCATTCGCTTGTCCAGTGTTCACCACCGCATTTAATACATCTGGGATTTTGTGACAGTAAGCTTTGGTGTGACTCCAACCTTGACACCTTTTGCACTGTGACATTTGTTTTGGCTTTCTGTACTTTTCAATTTTAACACGCATTCCTAATATGTTTGTTATTTCATGTATTCTTTTTATATGGATTCTATGTATAAAAGAAGAGACTCTTTTGTTTTGTATTTCAACATTTGGGTTACTTTATAAATGTAACATCACAGCTTTTATGCATATTTTGCTTATTTTCATAAGTGGATCAGGACAAATTCTTTTCAGTAAACATCTTTGCTTTCAATTTTCGAAGACAGTTTAGATGGCCAGGTTTCAATTTTACGGTTTTTGTTTCTTTTAGCTTGTTTTATTATCCAGTCAGCCTCCAAAGCTAACTCATCTTCCTCTGTAGTATACAGCACTTTGGTGGTTACTGAAGGGTTAAGATTTTATTGAATTTTTAGACCTTCTATACTCTCGATCATGTCATCTATTTGTTTCTGAAGAGTAGTTTCATCTTCAGTGCGTTGCTCCTTTTTTTGTTCGATTTCTTTCTTAAGTTGGGCGTAATGTCTTTTCTTTCTTTTTTAGGAAATTTAACAGTGAGAATTCCATATACGTTAAACGATTTGTAAAGCGTAAAAGCAATACTTAGCACTTGACGCACGATCGCAAAACGCATCCACTCTTGAGCGATGCACAAATCGAACTGTGACTTTACTTGATGATGTAAAGTTTTGTATATAATCCTTTTAACTGAGACATTAATAAATTATTATGAAAAAAATCTATAAGCGTTTTTACAAATTGATTCCTTCGACATTTCTAAAAGGTTACAAAACTACTCCTGAGTTTAACCGACATTTAGAAAGGTCTAAAGCAAGATAAGTAACAACTTGACAGGTTTCGGGAAACGTCTAAACCAACCACGAGGGATTACGACGGAATATAACTCGTCGGAGTTTGAAGTCGGGAATCGGTTGTTTGAAGGCGACTTTTTCAGGTTCACCTATAGATTAATTTCAGACATTGATTGACTCTGATGCTATTTAGTTAGGTAGAGAAAGGATCTGCTGTTGCCAATAACCCAATTAAAGCTGTCGCCTGAGGGAATTCGTCGTCGTCGGATTCGTCCAATTGGATAATGAATACAGTGCTGATATATCTACCCGATTTACTCATTGAATAGAGAATTATTCAATAGAAATGTTTCAAATCTCCTAGTTATTCATTATTTCTTAACTTTAATAAATAAAGCTATTATTTAATTTAATCGATTTTAAAATTTAATATTCATTCGTTTTAAAATTTCGTTCCGCGATTCACTTGAAGTTTCTCTTACGTTTCACTTCAAGTTCCAATATCTTATTCTTAATAATTTTATTTGCCTACCGGGGAGTTTTTCAAGAAACTTTACTATCAAATGCGAACTTTTAACTTTATCTCTTTTCGTTTATTTTTTTAGTTTGTACCCAGTTTTAATCTGAATTACACTTTAATTCGATCGAATTTAAAAATTACTTTTAATAACGTTTTTTTTTCTAAAACTACCGTTTTATGGTTTAATATAAAATTGAGACGAAGACGTGTGGATCTCGAAAGAAAATTAGAAATAATCAAAATTTTATTGGGGGATGTAAAACCGGGAGTCAACTCGAAGAAATTAAATCTGCATGGTAAGTCGTAAAAGAACTGACAAAATTGAATTTTTCACTAAAATTGAAATTCTACAAAAAAATCTGCGAATGATACGAAAAATTTTATGGTCCTATTTTTTAATACTTACAATTAATGTTTAAAGCAACTCTTTTACTAACAGCTGGTGGAACGTCGTTACTTGCAATACATAAATACGCCCCCATTTGTCTTCTATCCAATTTCCAAAAATATAAATTACTCCCACTGTAGTTATCCACTAAAACAAAGAAACATTTGTTTAAAAAGACATTTAAGTTAATAAAAAAAGGTAAATAAGTTTTAGGGTAATAAATTTGAAAGTGGTGGAAGTATTTTATAATAGCACCACTAACAATCGATCGGCCAAAAAGTTTTTTTTTCAAATCCAACCTCCACAAAACACGAGCAGTATTTCACTCCAACACAACGAACAACACCGATTCCCATTTTGTTATGTTAATGTACCCCATAAATTAATCCGCTTATTTAGTCGTTGTGTGTGCGCGTTCTATCGTTTTATTAGTTTCGTTCAACCAACCCAAACTCCAATATTGAATGGCCATGTAGATTTTTTTCTAAGGAAATCACTTTGTACTTTGTAAGATAAGAAAAAAAAATGTTTGTGTAAAACTAAGAAGGATAAATGAAGTTATTGGCTATGAAAACTTATCTTTTATGACATGATTGAGAATGATTTTACAGGTTAGTTGAAGAAATTAAGCAAAATACAGTGATTTCACTTAAAATGCAATATACAAAAATATATTTACATAGAAACCAGGGCCCACATAAAATGCAACATGTCAATATAATTTGACGGGGAATGCAGTATCCGTTATAGCTCAATAAAAATATATAACAATCTGGCGCTGAATAACAAATAAAACTGGACTAACACTAGCACTACAACTAATGCCAGACCTAGAACTAGAGACATTCCGTTTAGCCATACCTATCTTACGACGGCTGGTAGGTGGTAGGTAGCGCTAGTTAGTAAACTAGTAATCTTCTAGTTTTAATTCTTATACAACCACTTGACCAAGAACTAGAATCGTTCGGGTTTAGCCGTCTTAAGAGACGTACGGCTAAACGCAAATATTTCTAGGTCTTGGTCTAATGTTAGTTCTAGTGACAGTGTAAGTGTAAAACTAGAACTAACACTATAGATTCATAGAGGTATGATTCATTTGGTTCGACAGTGACACACACGAAGTTTTATTATTATCAGTCGAATTTAAGACTCTATGTCTTTGAAGAAGGTTCTATTATTGTGCAGTGTTTAACTATATCTAATTAAAAGGATTGTAAATGTCTAAGCTTTAAGTGTCGGTCACTTAAGTACCAAAATCACAAATATGAGTGAAATTCTCCTAAAGATAGACTCTTTAAGACTTATTCAAATTAAACACGAGTTACAGAAAGTCGAACTTAATGACGAGGGCTCTAAATGCTACCTAAAGCAAAAACTTAAAAATGCGTTATTTTCCAACCAACTACATAACTTAAACGAATCATTAAATATATCTGACGAATTAAATGAAACAATGGAAATATTGCAAAATTGTATATTACAAAATATATAAAGACTCAAAACAAAAACAAGAAGTTATCGACCGCATCGTCAGACTATCTGGTTGTGGTGATGTCAATAAGAAGAAACCACTCCCGAAACTACTGAAAACGGCTAAATGCAACTATAGTGTCCTTACAGAGATACCCAATGTACTGGAGAAAAACACAACGATGAAACCAACCGAACTATCCATACCATGTCAATCCGCATCGAAATCTACTGGGATAAACTACATTTGTCAACTAATAGAAAAATCGAAAGTTTTAATCCTGGGGGACAGCCATGCACGAGGTTCTAGTGACTTTTTGGAGTGCTATCTGGACAAAACAAAATTCGATCTACTCACTATATGTAAGCCTAATGCTGATTTTGCTACTGTATTGGACGGCATTGGTAAGATATAATATAACGCCGCCGTATAATCGCCACAATACGTTTAAGCTTTGCACTCGTATGTCGCCGTATAGGCGGCACACCATGTTAAACCACTTCAGTTCACATGTGCACCATTTTTGCGTTTTGAATATTACTCAGTTTTATAACTAACACGATTGGGTAAAGTTCGGTGTATTTTTTCGTTATATTTCGAAAAAAAAATATTTGAAATGCCCAAGAAATTTGTACAAGATGAAATTGAAAATGAGTTGCAAAGTAGTGACGATGAATTTTATATTGACGCGCCTGAAAATGATAGATTGGATAGTGATAATATTAGTGAAGAAAGTGACTCTAGTGGTGGTAGTGATATTATAGTTACTAAAAGACAGGGAACCATACCTTTACCATCAAGTTCAAGCAGCAGTACAGAAGACGAGAATATAACACAACCTGGCAATTTTGGTCCATGGCAGGACGGCACATGCCACGATCAGGTACCAGACAGGATTCTATTTACTTCTGGGGATAAAATGGTAGGACCACAAATTCCAGATACTTGTACAAAACCCATAGATTTTTTCAAGCTCTTTTTTACCGATGAGTTAATAATAAAAATAGTGGAACAAACAAATAACTACGCTAGACATAAAATAGCACAGAAGAGGTTGTCAAAACGTTCTACATGGCACACGTGGGTAGATACTACAGTAGAAGAGTTTACCGCATTTATTGGGGTTGTCCTAAATATGGGTCCGATAACCGTATCTAATATCCAAGAGTATTGGTCACAACAGTTTAATGCCAAAATACCTTTTTTTAGTAGCATATTTAGAAGAGAACGATTTTTACAAATTTTTTGGATGCTCCACTTACATGAAAACGATCCAAATGACCAAACTCTTAGGGCTCGAACTCAGAAAGTCAGTCAATATTTAGATTATTTGGACAAACAATTCAAAGAACATTTTGTTCCATCAAGAGAGATATCGGTAGACGAATCTGTTGTTGGATTTAAGGGTAAAATTAGTTTTTTAACTTACAACCCTAACAAGCCTACGAAATGGGGGATAAGAATTTATGTAATGGCGGATGCTAACACCGGGTATGTTTATTCAATTTTGCCGTACTATGGAAGCTTGACATCGGAAGATTTAGTGAGACCTGATTTACCTGTAAGTACAAGGATAGTGTTACATCTTTGTCAAAAATTATTAGACAATAACCCAGGATGTAAAGGATATCATTTTTACACCGATAGATACTATACTAGCTTGCCACTTGCAGAAGAGTTGTTAAAACTAAATGTTCATTTGACAGGCACTATTCAAATAAACCGCAAATTTATACCTGATTCTATCAAAAAACCAACATTTGCCGAAGACAACACATTTGCATGCAGATCAGGTAATTTGATGTTATTGGCATGGAAAGATAAAAGGGTCGTCACCATACTTACTTCGTGGGATATTTCAGGAACACAGCCTATCAACAGAAGAGTACGTGGAGGCAACTTACAAGTTGTAAATAAGCCAAATGTAGTGGTCAATTACAATAAATTTATGGGAGGTGTCGACCGCGCAGACTCTTATTCAGCGTCATACTGTTTCCTGAGGAAGTCTTTGAAGTGGTGGCGAAAGTTATTTTTCTGGGGACTCGAAATGTCCAGTGTCAATGCATATTTATTATATAAAATTTCACAACGGGGCCAAAACAAAAAACCAATGACACATCTAAAGTTTGTTCGGGAATTGGTTGACGAGATGACAAAAAACTTTCGGCAGGGGTCCAAAACTTCTGGCAGACCATCATCTGTAGATACAGAAGAACGGCTAAATGGTAAATTACATATTTTACGCCAAAATGATGGGAAGAAAAAAGACTGTGCGGTATGTTCTAACCGTAAAGTACAAGGCGGCAAGCGGGAAACTAGGTATATTTGTGACACTTGCACACGTAAGCCTGGACTACATATTGGTGACTGCTTCGAACGGTACCATACACTACAACATTATAAAACGTAATTTTTTGTAAATTGTGTATAAATTTATTTAATGATAATGGTAGTGATTATATAACGTTAGGTTTTATTTGTGTTTCTCTATCCTCAAGATTTATTATTTTTGTAATCCATTATTTTTTATTTAGTGTTTTTCAAGTTTTTTTTATTTAGTTATTTTTCATGTTATAATTGTAATAAATTATTGTGTTTAATTTGAATAAACATCTGTGTAAAAAAAATATTTTTTAAAAAACATCCCAGTTTTTAACATTAAGCGATTTTTTTTAAATTTTCCCAAATTTTTATTTGGTTTTTACATTAAGTGTATTTACCAAGCAATATTAGCGCATTTAAAAAAAAATCCCATATAAAAAAAATTCCGAGTAGACAGATAAGTAGATAAAATAATAGTCCGAGTACAGTGTACTCACAAAAGGACATATATACGAGTGCACAGGGTTAATTTTAGCATTTATAATTTCAACTGCAAAATTTTTGATTTCTTTAATAAGATTAGTCCCAGAAATAAAAACTATTATATAGACGCAAACACTGTTCTCTCATGGCGTGATAGAACGAAACACGGACTCTGGGAAACGTAAAATCTTTTCGCACATTGCAAATCTTATTAACAATGATTATAATGAGTACCATAAGAAAACTAATGCTGTGATAAATATTGTTTACCCAAATTAAATGTTTACCCATGCAGACTAGCTCTAAGGAACATATATTATTAAATATTAACGAAAATTTTTACAATTACCGGAGACCGCGGAAAGTGGCGTAGACTCGATCTTGTATCTTTTTTTAGTCGTTCTGATCATAAATGTGGCGGTGTATTGATACTAATTAAACGTGAATTTTCCTTCATCCCTCTTTTATAACATTAATAAATTATCTGTTTAAAAACATTGTGAGATGACGGGTATACTATGAAAAAAATTTGACGTAGTGATAATTTGTGTCTATAGATCTCCTTCTGGTGATATTCACTCATTTTGCAACATTGTGGGCTCGGAATTGACTATGTTACGCTATCAGTTGCGTGTTGTCGTGGCGGGTGACTTTAATGTATGGTTTGGGGGTCGGAGCGCTGATCCGACGATGGTGTGCGACTTGTTTGTGTCACATGGTTTTGTTCCGACAGTGTCGCAGCCTACTAGAATAAATAATTGTATTGACAACATATTTGTTAATTTCTCTACGAATAATTTCAATGACACATCATGTTAAAGAAATTAAAACCTACGCCTTCTGCTTTGAAAAGTTTGAATTTTGAAAAAAG